GTTGAATTAAAAAATCAACAAAAAAATCACTGCAAGACTCATTGGAAACGTGATTAATCCCTTCTGGCCAGAGGAGGGGGGAAGAAAAGCAATCAAGCATGCAAGACCCATTGGAAATGCCCAGAAAACAAACAGAGCAGATCAGAAATGCACAGAGAACAAAGGGGGGTGATCAGAAATTCAAAGAAAAGAAAGGAAAAAGCAAGAGAAGCATGCAGGAATGCAGGACCTATCGGAAATGAGGGGGAAAAAACCCAAAAGCAACCAACCCCCCCCAAGGCCCATCAGAAATAGGGGGGAAGACAAAAAACAAACCTCCCAAGACCCATCGTAAATGGGGAAAAAACCCAAAAGCAACCAGACACCCCAAGACCCATCGGAAATGGGGGAAAAAACCAAAAAACAAAGAAACCCCCTAAGACCCATCAGAAATGGGGAAAAACACTCCAAAAGCAACAAAAAACCCCAAGACCCATCGGAAATGGGGGGAAAAACCTAAAAACAACAAACCCACCAAGACCCATCACAGCACAGAAACATAACCCCCCAGCCCAAAGTCACACTGCAAAAACACCCAGAACAGTTTTTAAAAAGCAGAAAACAGCACCTTACCTTACCAAGCAGCCCGAAGCCTCCCTGCAAACACACATACACACACACTCGCTCAGAAGCACAAGGGGTAGTCCCAAGCCTCCTCTGTCACACACTCTCTCTGGTGAAGGAGCTACAAAGAAGCATCCTCGTCACCACCTACATTTAGAAATTTGAATTTCCCACCTTTTTTCCCTGGCTTTTTCTGTTCGTAACTGGAAATTCCAGTCACAAGTAGAAGCAAAATTTTGCAGCCAGAGCTGTTCGTAAGTCGACATGGTCATAACTAAGGGCATTTGTAAGTCAAGGCACATACAAGATGTACTGAGACACATACAAGATGTTCATCCTGGAAAATGAAAAGAATGATTAAGGTATATGAAATACTTTGTGAAATAGTTAAAACTGCTACTTTTACTCTACAGTTCAAGCCAAGAACTTAAAAGTTAAATGAGAGAGCAATGCTCAGCCTTTCCTACTGCTGAACGTTGCCTGAAGAGTGAAAAAAGACAGCACAAGAGATATAACTGTGCAGCTGTATTGGTGTCCCAAGGCTTTTCTTGAATGCCTGTTGAGAATTCCGGCAACGTAGATGTACCAAAACCTCAGTCACACAAAGCAGAGCACAAACATGAAGTCCCAAACTCTAGTTCTTTAGGTATGTGCTCCAATATATTGAACTAATTGTGAATTATTATTATTTTTTTGCACATGTGCAGGCATGCATGCACACATGCATGGTATTATGGATAATGTTGAAGATTATTAGAACAAATCATTGTAGCAACCATTGTAACAACTAGCAGCCTTTCACAACACGTAAGGGTTGAGCAATCACCTCTCACTGCTCAAGATAGGCCCTAGCAACTTGTCAGCCACGGTTAGCTGTAGCCAGTTATATAAACCTTATAAATAGGAGTCTATGAATGTTTCAATGAATGTGTGTGTGTGGGTTTTTTGCCATCAAGTCAGAACTAACTTATAGCAACCCTATTAGGGATTTCAAGTTAAGTGAGATATTTAAGGAGTGGTTTTACCAGTTCCACCATCCCCCAGTCAGCTTCTGTGGCTGAGTGGGGATCTGAACCATGTTCTCAAGTGTCCTAGTCTATCCACTACACCGCACTAAGAATAGTCAATGACTCGCCTTCAGTAATTTCTTGAATGAGGGCTTTGTATTTGCCGGTATTTGTGCATTAGATTGTGTCAAGGATGGTAATGTTTCTAAAGTTCTGGAAGAATTTCTCCCAAAGTTGTTAGTTCAAATCATCACTTTAAAAAGATTTAGGAGCTGGAATTACACATAATGACCATTCTATTCAGCTGCTTCTCTTGCCTCAGTAAGCAAGCAAATTGCTTGTTATGGTTTAAACAACAGCAGCCAATAAGACAGAGCAAGGGGTACTATTGATAATCTAGTGAATGGATTATTGCTGGACTGCCCAAACTGACACAAACATCGCTAGTATTGTGTTCTTTATTTCTAAAGACACATTAATTCAGAAGCCACAGAGTCATTCGTGAGAGTAAATATGGTGTGTGTGTGCGTGCAAGCATGTGCACACAAGCAAGAGGATATAAAAGACCACCGGCTGCTCTCTGCCAGATTTCAAAGCCCTGGGCTAAATTTCTGCATTAATTTTATTTTATAAGGTTATTGAACACTTGACTTCCAGCCTAAAAGAGACCTCCAAGGTAAAATCCATGTGAACAATACCATTAAAATTCATGGAATATTTTATTATTTAAATCACAGTTTTATTGCTTTATTTCTTGATATTATTTTATTTTTTGAGTTTTAACGTTGCAAAATTATGAACCTCTATCATATTATTGAAAAGGCAGTACAGAAACATCTTGAGAGCAGTATGACATAGGAGATAAGAATATGGGACAAGACTTGGGAAACCTGGGTTTACATCCCCCTTGGCCATGAAAACCTATTGTGGGGTATTGGTAACCCACTCCTTTCACATTTCACAGGGTTTCATAGGGTTGAAATGAGTCAGAATTGATTTGACAGCACATAAGAGCAACATAGAAATACCTTAATTAATAAATAGTAATAAGAAAAATACCATAAGAGGAAAAATTTGTAGAAAATGAGAAACCAGAATTACATTTAAAGACTTTTCACAGCTAGGAAAACTAAAAATGTAAACAAGCAATGGGCCCATCTAAATCCCCCTAGGGAGGCCTTTCCTCAGTCGGGGTGCTGCTACATAGAAGGCCCCATGGCCTTTGGTCTGGCTCAGCATGTCTCACAGCTACAAAAGAAATCAAAGTCAGTAAGAACAGACAAAGTAAATGGACATAAAGAAAATGCATGTGCCCACTTTATGATCTCCACCATAAACAGCATTATTTTCTATATGTAACACAGAATCAATTGTAGGTAAAACATACCAATTGCTTTTTGACGGTAAGGTATTTCTACAGTGGGTTAATACTATTTTGATCCTTATTTGCCAATCTATCCATATATATTTAAAAACCTTAGAACTAGATCTCATCTTAAATGTATTGTTATCGCTGAACTCCCTTCCCCTTTCCCTCTCACTTGCACCTCACCTTTAGTTCTGCACGTGTAAAAATGGAGTCTGTATCTCCCTTGCTTCTTTATGCAGAATAAAACATTTTGGAAGCTTCTCCCAATGTTTCCCAGACATATGCTGACGTGTACAAATGCAATATGTGAGACAGACAGTGACACAAATGACTATTGTCATGGCAATTCTCCTGCTCACAGCTGTGTTTTTTTCTATGGGGGGGCAGGCTACGGCAAAGTCTACAATGCTGTATTTGCTCGTACTAACACATGGCCTGAAAATGTGTGCTCTACTTGCACAAATAGAAAACTTATTTCAACATGAACTAGGTACCTGTGAACAGAATATTTTGCATGTCAGCCTAGAGAGGGAAAAACATTCCCTTCTCTACACAATTGATATGTGTGAATGTACTCTGATGTTTTCTTATTCAAGAACCAAAAAAGACTTTCTTTGTAGGCGTAAGTGTATATATTATGAGAAATGCCTATTTTCTGTATATAGAGCTTATTTTCAAGATAACTCCTCCTCCTCAGCCACCTTCACCATCATAAGCTGAAATGCTGATTCTGTTTTCTAGTGGCAATTTCCAGTTACACAATAATCCACATTTTAATGTATCTAAATGGCAGGGCAGTGGGTTGACAACACATTGCAGGACCTAATCAAGACATAGGCAGAATTTAATGAACAGCACGTTTCTTCCCAAGCAGTGACCTACCTCTGTTTAAGCTGAAATTCTGTGCTCATTTACTTAGAAGTAGGCACAGTGAATTTTCTACCCAATAAAGTGCAGAGTTTTGAATTTTCAGTTAAATTGCTTTAGCTGTGCAGGAAAAGTGCAGAGAATTACAGAGGATTATAATTTCAAGTTCCCCAGAGAAGACCACCCTTTTTGCTCATCATGTATCATTTACAGTCTCAATAACTCACTCTATTCAAAAGAAAAAGAATAAAACCCAATTTTTTACTTACAGTTCTGAGCAGATCAAACAATAAACAAACAAAAATTTACTACTCTCAGCAACAGGCCCCAACAGACTCACTGACTGCTTCCAACAGGCGAAAGAGAGAGGAAAAGCTCAAGAGGAGAGAGGCGGGACTCTCTTTGAATTCAGAGGCAGGGAAGGAACAATTGGTTACTTCTGGATCACCCCAATTGGTCACCTCAGCCTAAAAAGCTCCCTCCTGGCCACACCTACTAGAGATAGCATGCAAGGTTGCAAAAACTAAAACATAAAGAAGCTGTCAGGATTCTGCTTTGGATCTGGGAGAGACCTAATCCATTTGTTGAAATCCATGTGTTTGCAAATGGGCTAAACAGAAGTTCTTCCTAAAGTGCCTGGCCTTACTTTTTATGTTGTTTCAAAAATCTTTCGTTCTTCACCTTCTCCATCAAATTCACCATAGTTTCTTCAAGGTAAGTAGCTAATGCATCTTGCTTAGACACAGACCATATCCAAGCTGTTATAATAGAAGATACACCGTGCAAAGACTTGAGAACAATACCTCAGTATTGTATTCTTGACAGCTTGCTTTAGGTATTAAACCAGCCTTGAACTGCCGGAAGCATTCTAATGGATGCGGTTTTTAGCATACCATGTTTTCACTGTTGTTTTGCTTTTTGTTACTCAATCTATAAATGGTTGTATTTGTGCTGAACTGCGGCAGACGCGTTTTCACTCTGCTGAAATGAATATGTGAAATGTTATTGTTCTTCCTAGGCTGTGGTGATGAAATAATAAGGAGAGTCAAAGATGTTAGTATATCTTATTTGTATTGAATGGCACAGGTGTTTTAGAGTTTTCTCTGTCTTCTATAATTAATGACTGATTGGATTTAATTCCACTGTTTCCACAGGCTAGTGACAACTGTAAGCCAGAGAGAAATGCCATGGCCAGCAAATCAAAACACTGTGTTTGAAAAGGTCAAGACAATATTTGCCTCCTTAGCATTCCGAGGAGGGCTTACCAGAACATTTTGCCATCTTTCTGTCTCCCTTGAAGACGGTGGGGGAGGATCATGACAAAGACTGTTGACGAAGTGAGGAGGAAAGAAAGTACGAGAAATAAATCTTTTGGAAGCAGTCAACAAATGACGTCTGTGTGAATCATTCTTACTTGGGAAGGCTGCTGAAGTGACTAGGACCACATTAGATATACTGCATGAAGTGTCTGTATCCAGGATGTCATAGGAACATTTTCAATAATATTGGTCCAGTTGGATCATCTTGATTCAAAGCGATTTCCTACTAAATGGAGAGAAGCTTTCAGTCAAACAGATCACAGGCCTTAGTCACCCAGTATTATTTCACATTAATCACTGCACTGAGGGACGTTGATGTTATTTGACTCCAGTAGTATTTATACTGACAGATGATTTAAAATGAGGGGGGAAATATTTAAAAAGCTTTCAAGGAGTTCATGTTGACATGTACTGTCTGCATGTGCACACATGCGCAAGAGCACATGCATACTTGAGTGCCTGGTGCTGTAGACTCCTAGATGCTGTCACCTGTATATGAGCTTCCTGAGGCATCTAAGCCATGCCAGATGGACCAGAGAGCTCTTCATGTGATACAGGTAAAACTTTGTAGGTTCTTAGTAGTGGCCTAAGTCCTGCTCCATGTATTAGCGTATCTGTTACAAAAACAGCCCCAAATACTTGGCGAACTTTAAAATGCTCTCTTTATCATTGCACTGAATTTGCATAATATCTCATATTGGTGAAATTCAGACATGACGTTAGTATTATTTTATTTATTTGTTTGTTTGTTTGTTTGTTTGTTTATTTATTTATTTATTTATTTTCTATTATGGCTAGTTCCCTTGTGCAGATTCATCAGCTGATGATTTTTAAGCCTTTGAAATGTTCTGGGTTTGAGCTGCAATATTAATAAGAAAAATTCAGTCTCTGGCTGTTAAACTGTGATTATTGTTTCACAAATACGGATCACCCCATAATACAGTGGTGCCTTGCTTAATGATTGCCTCGTTAAATTATGAAATCGCTATACGATGACTGTTTTGCCATCACTTTTGCGATAGCAAAATGATGTTTTAATAGGCAAAATTCACTTCCCGACGATTGGTTCCCTGCTTCAGGAACCGATTCTTTGCTAGACGATGTTTTTAAAACAGCTGATCGGGGGCTTCAAAATGGCCGCCCAAATTTGGATTGTGTGTATTTTAATAAAAATGGGTAATAACACAGCCTTTGACTAAAAATATAGTGCTGAAAGTGATTACTGAGATCAATGTTACTCTGGCAAAAAAAAAAAAATCAGGCATGCTCATGCTTACTAAGGCTGTGATTTTATATTTGCTTCCTTAGGAGAAAAAAACAGCTGATCGGGGGCTTCAAAATGGCCGCCCGCTATATAAAATGGCTCCCCGCTGTGTTTTTGGATGGATTTCTCACTTTACAGGCACCGAAAATGGCCGCCTCTATGGAGGATCTTCGCTGGACGGTGAGTCATTCAGCCCATTGGAACACATTGAACGGGTTTTCAATGCGTTTCAATGGGATTTTTTATTTCATTTAACAAGGATTTCTCTCTACAGTGATTTTGCTGGAACGGATTATCCTTGTTAAGTGAGGCACCACTGTACTACTATCAAGGAATCCCTACACTCATGTCAACTGACTCTAAAACCAGTCAAAATTTGGATTGTGTGTATTTTAATAAAAATGGATAATAACACAGTCTTTGACTAAAAATATAGTGCTGAAGGTGATTACTGAGATCAATGTTACTGTGGCAAAAAAAATCAAGCAAATCATGCTTACTAAGGCTATCTATCTATCTATCTATCTATCTATCTATCTATCTATCTATCTATCTATCTATCTATCTATCTATCTATCTATCTATCTATCTATCTATCTATCTATCTATCTATCTATCTATCTGCTGCCTTTCTCCTGAAAGATCCAAGGCGGCTTATAGTATTAAAAGAAGCAAAGCTTAAACCCAAATAATAAATTATTACAATATTTAAAAAGTATTAAACAAATATCACATTAAAACTCATAAGAACAATATTGAAAACGCATGTAAAACACAGAATAAAATGTTCCCTAAAAAAAATAAAAAAACCTTAATCAAACAGTCATTTAAAGGAAAGCCTACCTGAAAAGAAAGGTCTTTGTCTTCTCGAAGAAGGACAGCAAAGATGGTGCCAACCTAGCCTCCCATTGGAGGGAGTTTCAGAGTCTGAGAGGAGTAACAGAGAAGGACTTTCCCCGTGTCCCCACTAAATGCACCTCTGAGAGTAGGAAGACCAAGAGAAAGGCCTTTCCTGATGATCTTAATACTGTACTGCCTTTCTCCTGAAAGATCCAAGGCGGCTTATAGTATTAAAAGAAGCAAAGCTTAAACCCAAATAATAAATTATTACAATATTTAAAAAGTATTAAACAAATATCACATTAAAACTCATAAGAACAACATTGAAAACGCATGTAAAACACAGAATAAAATGTTCCCTTAAAAAAATTTAAAAAAAACCTTAATCAAACAGTCATTTAAAGGAAAGCCTACCTGAAAAGAAAGGTCTTTGTCTGCTCGAAGAAGGACAGCAAAGATGGGGCCAGCCTAGCCTCCCATGGGAGGGAGTTCCAGAGTCTGAGAGGAGCAACAGAGAAGGACTTTCCCCGTGTCCCCACTAAATGCACCTCTGAGAGTAGGAGGACCAAGAGAAAGGCCTTTCCTGATGATCTTAATACTGTAGCTGGGAAGTCTCATAAAGGGAGATGTGATCTTTTCCATAGCTTGGACCCAAACAATTTAGATAGCTTGGACCCAAACCCATTGAACTCATTGGGACATTTCTGAGTATATGTTTGAGGACTGCACTGTAAGATCTTTCTTAAGATTTTTAGTTTTATTGTGGCAGAACTGTTTAATTTAACTCTATAAAGTAGGTTTAGATGTGTTTCCCAGCTGAGTGATTTGTTTGTTTATTTATTGTGCATGCCTTTACCTGATTCACTCACCAGAAACAGAGGAAGAGAAATTTCATGACTAGCATTGAAACATAATTATTTGTGAGTGATTCCATAAATACAGTATGTGATTAAGGAAACAGTATATAGTCACTTACAAAACAATTGTATGCATTAAATCTTTCTGAGTCATCAACGAACAGACACAGGATTGAAGACTTAGACCAGAATCTTATAATTTTTGGATACATGACTAAGTTGCAGCAGCAAACCGATATTTGTTGGAGACACAAAATGAGAAGGCTGATGGGCTTTGTGATCACATGTAATTAGGATAGCAAATACAGTAGTCTCTTAGAGATAGAAGTTAAAGAAGTCAGCCACATACACAGGGATATCTTCCAGCAGTGCTCCTGATGGGCTACTAGTAGAAGAGGCAGAATAAGACGACCGCTCTGCCCCACCCCCCCCAGGAGGACTGTGTTTATTAACCTTACAAGCTCACAGATAGCTGACAGTATACAGATAGTTTGCAGAGTTCAGATAGGACAATGGTTACATCATGCCATTATGACTGGACCAACGAAAGGCAATTAAGCAAGCTCTCTATCACCTATGAGAAAGAAGAATGGAAAGTCACGGCCCTCAGAACAGCCGCATCTTGTTAGGAGAGTTTGCCATCACTACAACAACAATGTGGCCTAGCAACCTTGGGAATGGCACCCCCACAGATATTCATTAGTAAGGTGCTATTCATGTTCCTTGTTAATGTGCTTGTTGTGTAAATGAACTCAAGAGCAGGAATTAAACTGGCCCCTGTAGGAATTTGCTACCTCTACATGAATGGATTTTACTTGTGCATTCTTAAATCATCAATAGCACTGCAGTCTTAACCTGGTTCAGATATGAAACAAGGTCACAGCTTTACTTCAAATAATTTTGCAGTACATGACAACTTAGTAACCTGCATTTCTTCCCTCTGTTTAATTTAAACACACAGAGACTGAAAATTCTCAATATACTGCATTTCACATGCCCAGAGAGCAGTGCAGTTTTATTTTAACAAGCATGTGCTTCTAAGGATAGTCATCAGAATGAAATTGACTGCACCTATGGAACTGCCCATTTTGACTGGCATTGTTTGTATTCAGTATGGTGCTAATTAATCTTATGACACAATTGGATCCATCATGCAGACCTAAGAAGCCGTCTTGTACTTGGTTGGACCTTTGATCCATCTAGCACAGCATTATCAACATGGACTAGCAATGGCTCTTGCAAGCTTCACAGACATAGTTTTTTTGCAGCCCTAACTGAATTCTCCACGGTTGAATCAGAGATCTTCTGCATGCATGTCCATCAAGATGCAAAAGATAGCTGTCCACCAATGCCCTTCAAATTTGCTCTGCTTTGTCCAGGAGTCCCCAGTGCAGATTTGGGGTGTGCCAGGCGCAGGAAAGGAAGGCGAAATACTGTTGGCGATCAATGCAGTTTGAAAGCAACGCCTGCAAAATGTAGCAGAAGGAAATTGCATATAGAATCACTATATTACTGATGAGGAATTGAGTGAATTTGCTAAAAAGAATTATTTGTTAAAAACAATAACAAGGATACTATTGGGGCACATTCTTCGTGCGTTTCTCCAAGCACTTCTACATTTTCCTTACTCATGCAGGGGGGCACCTCTAAACTCCTTATGCAAGCGGCTTCCAGTGATTTTGCACTAGCCAGAAGCTTAATGAAGCTGACTGGTGTGCTGGTTAGGAGCCAGTAGGGCTCACAAGCAGAACTCCATCCTTCCCACAAGCCACCACCAGATATCACAGGACTGGTCAGCTGCCTACTCCCCCCCCTCTACCTATTTGTGTGCATTTATGATGGTCCAATGTTTTGATCTGCTGATGGCAAATGGGAACCCAGAGTTCATGCAAAACCAACAAGGAATTTGTTCTTAAAATACAAAAGAAACTAATGAACATGTAGTGACACTTCTTGCTTACTTCTCTAGACCCAGAAGCCTCAGTGAGAATGAATGGCTATGTAAATACAGAGGACAAACTTTTTTTTAGGTGCAAAAGAGTCTTTAAACAAATAGAAAGGGTGAGTGCTTCCTGTTTGTAACAAAGACGATTCTGGGGCAAAAGAGGCCCAAAAGACCTAAAAATGACCAGGCAACAGCCAGTTGTAAACATTAGAGGCTTCTGGCATGCGGCAAGCCATTTTCATACCAGAAGATGTTTCAAAATATGAAGGCATGGGGTGCAGGTCTAGCTTCCCATGGAGTTTTACTTTCAGAGTTATTTAACCATCTGAGATGCATCAGTTCAGAAGTAAGTCCCAGTGAGTCGTGAGAGTTCCTCTTAGGCACTTTTGCAGAGGATTACGGCTGAACTATAGCCAGCCATTGGCCAACCGACATAGAGGCTAAATGGGAGAAGATGTGGGTTCGCCTGCATGCCTTGCCCCTTGCAACCCTATGCAGCTCATTCATTTGACCTTAGTAAAGTGTTCTGGAAAGGGATCCTACTTGTATGTGTTTGTGCTTGCTTGAGCTGCATGCCGTTTGGGAACTCCATTGGTTTACCTCAGCTTGGGAAGATTGGGGGTGGAGTGGGCAGCAATGAACATGTTGAAGGTCAGGGCTGGCATCTGCTCCCAGACCCCTGTCACAATAATGAGAGAAGACAGGAAACCAGCATCGGG